AGTCTTTTCAGAAGGGGACATGCCATTGAGTGATGCTGTGAATTAGATGATGGTGAGAGAAGCTAGCCACAATACTCTTTCCATATTGAATAAACAAACTCGCTTCCTGTAGGCATTCATAAGGAAGTTCATCTACTTAAGCACCTCTTTAATTCTTGAATGCACCCTTGAGTAATGTGGTTTAGCTCACTAGAGAAAATAACTTCTCCTTTGTCTTCTAATACTTAAAATTCAAGACATAAGTTCTGTTCTAAGTGTTACCCAAATTAAAGGATAACTGGGAGAGATAGCATTTTGTAGGGCTTTTCCAATATTTCTGTTAATTTTGAGAGTTTTCTGCATTTGTCATGGAGTTACAAGTTACCTACTTTTTTCCGTGAGAAACAGATACTGAGGGTGCTTCATGGGAATATCAGCCAAGATGATTACCACTGGTGTGTTTGTATGTATCCTCCTGCTTTCTGTAATATTTTCCTTCTTTATCTTGTTTTAGGACAAAATTGTAGATAATACATACACATAGGCACAGATTCATCCAGGAATTTAGTTGCTTTGCTCTCTCTACATAATTCATGAAGAGGAGAGGTCTCCATATGATTCATGTTTTTTGACACACTAATTCTTCTTCTGGAGTCATCTGCCCCTTTTTGAAAGCTGTAAATGAAGTCTCAAGCATGTTCAGTGTTTAGGTGAAACTTGGATTATATGAATTTCAGCCAAACTGAGTTTAATAACATGCAAGTCTGCATCAGAATACATCTGTCAACTCTTAACACCTAAAAGAGTGGAAATTAAAAGTTGTTGAAATGTTCTTTCAAATCTGCATGTTTCCTTCAAGTTTGTGGATAATGCACTCCTAATAACCTAACGTTTCTGGTTTTCTGTTGCTGTAAAACAAATGTTGCCCATCCCCCACATTGTGTTTTTTCATACTCCATCTTTCACATGAGCATACACTTGTGCAACCTTATTGTATATCTTAGACATTTATTTTCACTTTTAAGTTTTTTAGGAAAATACTGAAAAATTGTGACTTGAAAAGCCTGCACTTTTTAGAAGTAGTATCGTAAAATAATATGCAGGATATATATTCCTTCCTTCAAGTATTCCTCCCTTGCTTCCATGCTCTGTACGCTTCCTTTTTGTGTTGGAGTTTGTCCAGGATCTACTTGTTCACTCATGCAGGCCTGCTGGAGTTCTTGCCTGATGTTCTCTTTGCTGGGATGCATTGCTCCTGAGCTTGGAAAAGGTGATCTTGAATTTTAGCAATTTTCTTGGGCCCTCTTCCCTTCAGGGCTTTATCCCATGGGTGCCCAGGAAAGTTCTCGTTTAAGATTATCTATAGTTTGCAAGTATCTTTCACAAAGGATAGTTTCCATTTAGTGATATGCAGACTTCTGCAAACAGAGCAGTAGAGGTACTTTTAGGCTTAAATGCATTATTCTACCCTTCTCTGGTTGGGCCATGAAAAGCTGAATCATTTGAGGACTTCTAAGTTGTAGGGGTATTTTTAGTGGAGGGAGAGGTTAGATTCTAGTGGATGAATTTATTTTTCAACAAGTGCAGTTCACAGTTACTGTGTGTGCGAGGTCAGCAGAATATGTCTTTGTGGAATTTAAGTTTTTTCATAGTCTTTGCTTTTATCCTTGTAAGCTGTGAACATCATTTAATCATGTTATCCCCAAAAGTAATTCTAAAATGTCTTTTGGATGGTCCGTCTAACAGGTGATAAAAGTTGAGACACTTTTAAATTGTGAATTCCTCTGATATTGTTTACTGTATTTTTTTTTATTATTTCTGTAGGACCTCTCTTCCCAAACCAAATGTTCCGTTTCTCGAAAAGGTGCCAGCCCATTCTTTTCTTACCTCCTGTATCCCTGTGTCTTCTGCTAAATCCCTAAAATTTTTATTGCCCATATTCACAATCCCAGGGATATTGAAGGAAATTTTGGAGGAAAAACCGTGAGCTTTTAGAATGTAGTATTTCACAGATTTAATCTTATGTAAAACATGGAATTAAGAATTTTTGAGATACGTTAACACTAAGGTGTTTTTTTTTTTTTTTGGCTGGTTCTTAAAGGGAAACAATTCAGCATATTCATTTAAGGAAAAAGAAAACTAGCAAAATTCCTGTAAATATTTAATATCATTTAGTTTTAATTAGAATACAAATTTTCCAGAACAGCATTCTTGAAATAGTAAATTTCAATAATTTAACAAAGTTGTGGGAAATTAACAGCTGAAATCCAAGCATTAACTGGAATACCTAGAAGTGCAGGTACACATTGGGCAAACTCTTAATTTGTTTTTTCAGACTTAGAGTAATATTTCAAAATACATTATATCCTGATATTCAATTCAGCATTTTAAGTATTAACTATAGTTTCCTATGACATTTTGAAAAAAAAAGATTTTATGGCATTTCTTATTCTTTGGTATCTAATAAATGGAGAAGTGGTAGTTGCATCGGATTTTTGTTTTGCATACAGGCACTTTTAGGTTAGAGCTATATAGAGCGTTTTCAATCATTTAGGAAGTTCATAGTTACTAAAATAGAATAAGCCAGCATGGGTTGTTTTTGTAAATGTTTAGCTAATCTGAAGATGTTATGCCAAGATACATTCCTGGATGTTGTTATCTCAATTTTTTGTTTTGAATAATCTAAACAGTTACTTTAGCTGTCAGGCATCCCTTGGACGCTGCAGAGCATAGCACCTCTGGCACTTGCCAGATGTCTGACTTTCAGGCTCAGGTTGCTTGATTTATCGGGTGGCAGAATGCATTCTGATCAGTTATTCTCCCTTGAAGATAAGTAGGCAGAACAGTGCTCACCATGAGTGCACTGTAAAGTGCACTGTTTTAGTGGTTTGCTCCTCTCATTAAAAGAGGGATTTGATTATTGTTGCCTGGAGGAAGTACGTGTTAAAGAAGTTAGTTCTAGCACATTTTGTTAATTAATATTTATTAATACTTTAATTTTTTATTTTGATTATTGAAAGAGCTCTTAAAGTAGGTAAGATACCCTCTCAAAATACAGTGCTGACACAATACAGGCATATAATACCTACCTTCCTGGTAAGGTGTATGAAATGAGAAACCTTATAATATTCCAGTAAGTGGGTTGGAATACAAAATAAGGAACCTTGCAGTGATTAAGATGAGAATGAATGACCTTTCAGCAGTGATGGTTTATGTGAAAGCCTGTGATTCACATAAGTAGTATATATTTTGCTGTGAGTGATGGCAGTGTGAATCTGGAAGCTTGTTTGTTTCCTTTTTTCACACCTGTTTTTTTTTTTAGGAATGTGTTTAAAAGCAAGTATAGGCAGCAGCGATTGATCAGCTTTGGGTATCCCAAGATCAGCAAATACCAATTTATAGCACAGGGATAATGAGGCATAGAAAACTTAATTCATATAAAAGTTATACCTTTGTCCAGGTGCTTTGTAGTGTTAATAGAACAATAATCTAATTGTCATAATCACAGCTTCACTTGGGAATTTTGAGCCGAGTCTGTGGAAGTGTCTTTTAATGCCATGTGGGCTGTACCTTTCCACAATGTCATGTGTAGCCGTTTGTAAACCTTTGCTGTTACCTTGTGATGGGTTGAGCCTGTTTGGACAGCAGGTGCCCCCCAAGCTGCTCTATCATGCCCCTGCTCAGCAGGACAAGGAGGGGGAAAATAAAATAGTGTCTTTGGTTCAGCAGTAGCAGTCATTTTTCTCCTTATTAGCTGTTGCAGTGCTGCATTTTTGATTTTCAGCCTGGGAACAATGCTGGTAAGACCAATGTATTTAGTTGTTGCTAAGTCATTGTTTACTCCGACCAAGGACTTTTTGAGGCTTAAGCTCTGCCAAGGAGGAGGGGAAGCCGGGAGAAAGCAGAGACAGAACACCTGACCCAAACTAGCCAAAGAGGTATTCCATACCGTAGCACGTCATGCACAGTATATAAACAGGGGGAGTTACCCAGAAGGGCAAGATCGCTGCTCGGGTCAGGCTGGGTATTGGTCCGCAGGTGGTGAGCGGTTGTATTCTCTTCCCTTCTTATTTCCCTTATCATTGTTATTATTGGTGGTAGCAGTAGTAGTTTTGTGTTACACCTTAGTTACTGAACTGTTCTTCTCTCAACCTATGGGAGTTACATTTCGACTCTCTTCCCCACCCCCCCCCGGATGCAGGGTTAGGAAGGGGGGGGGGAGTAAGCAAGCAGCTGCATGGTTCTGAGTTAGTGGGTGGGCTTAAACCATGACAGATGGAAGAAACCTTGTGGATCAAGGTAATGGCATCTTAATAAAGCAAAAGCAGAGGCTACATATGGAAGCAAAAGTATACAAATATTTATTCTCTACTTCTCGTCAGCAGGCGATGTCTAGTCACTTCTGGGGGGTAGGACGAGTACAAGTTACTGTGGAAGATAACCACTCAACAAATATTCACCTTCCTTCTCCTGACTTCCCCCATAATTCCCTGAATTACATTGAGTCTGTTACGGCTGTTGTCAAAGTGGCAGTTGTGCATACCCATGACAGCTGGAGTAATGGCACAAGTGGAATGGAAGCCAGTCCATGATCTTAATGAACCACATAGATAACTTAGCTCCTGTAATGAATGTCTGGATTTTGTTAATGAATTTTGTTGACTTCGTAGAGACCATCCATAGTGATGGATTGACTAAATCACTATTCAATATTGTTAGATATCGATGAATAAGAACCTAAGACAGAAAACCAGGAAATATGCGTGTATATATATAGTCTTTGTTAATGTAATCTCATATATTTTAATAATTATTTCTAATATTTTTGAGGGTATACCCATGAAAAAAATCTGGAATCGGTGTCTTGTTTATGATTTATACTTTCTTTGTCCTCCTCAGGTTACTGCTGGTATGAGGAAAACATATGTGTGTGTGTGTGTCTTACTGTTTGGGTATTTTTGTTATGATTTTTTTTGATCATAGCACAATTCTCAATGAGGTGGATTTTTTTTTTATTCTAGAACCCTGTCAAGAAGATTCCAGATTCTCATGAAATTACACTACAACATGGGACAAAAGCAGTAAGTAGTAACACATTTTCAACACTTGTTGTTTTTCCTAGAACTGAGCTAGTCTGTGAAATAAGATAGTTAGCACATAATTATTGTCACCTGAAGATCAAGAAGCTAGTTATTTTTCTTTATTTTTTTAGTGTTTTAGGGCTGCCTCTTTGCTTTCTTGTAATAACCCAAACATGGCTCTGTTTGACTCAGTTGCAATCTCATTTTTGTCTTCCTTTCTGTCAAGTAACCTTCCTGCGACTGTTAGTGTTCCTCTTCTAGGCTAGGCCTTCTTAAACTAGACATAGGTCTAACCTAGACCTTTCTTTGACTGTTCATGGATTTTAAAGATAATTTTATTGTTGAAGTTTCTAGGACTTCTTTGTAGCTGAATACTGGTCTCCTTCATTTTCCTTGAATCTTTAACTTACCTTTTACATATCATTTTCAGTTTCTTGAAACTTTGTTGTTCCTTGATTTTGAGTGTATCTTTTCTAGGTTTCACCTCCAATATTGCTCCTTTACTTTCCTTGACTTGAAACTATTATTTCTTTGTTCTGTAGTTAGTATTTTTATCTGTAGGTAATCTCATTTTCCAACTGTTTTTATGTGCTTCTGATAGAAGATCTATTTTTGTAGTATGGAGTTTATTTTCTGGCTGTGAAAAGCCTTGAATCTATTTCCAAATCCTTTCCCCATATTTTTCATGAGGCTTTAAACAATCTAATTAAATATATAATTTTCTTGTATTAGATTTTTAAGAAAACGCCTGGTTTTATTTTCTGTTTATGTGATATTTTCTGAAGTGTCAATTCATTAATCCGGCGTCAAGCTTTGTGGTATCTCTTAGACTGTGGAGAGGTGGTAAGGCTTACCCAGTTGTTCTGTCTTAGTCCTAGGCATACAGGCACACTGGAAAGAAAAAGTAGCGAATTAGAATTGAAAACAGAAAAATATTCTTATAAGATGTGTAAAGTATGCATACTATTACATGTAACATCTTTTGCATAACAATTTCTGTGTATGCTAGGATTTGGAAGCTATTTTCCCATTCTGCATGTGACAGTAATTGCTTCTTCAGTATGCTTCTTGAATACATTTTATAACAAACTTTATTATGTAAAAGTTTTTGAATTATTTTTCTTGATATTACAAGAGTAAATCTTCTGTTGGCTTCTTAAAGCATTAGCTCGGGCTATTTCTAACTAAAAGGCTTCATAAAATGGAAGTTACAATTTTCAAAGACTTCAGAGGTATTTTGACTGCATGAGAATGCAGCTGTCACCACCTAGAGCAGAGGTGAATTATAATATGGGTATATATAGCACAGTTGCATTAGACTGGATACAGTGAATTAAAAATTAAAAAAAAAAAACAACCCAACAGCTCTTCTGTAGGACTCTTTTTACTTCTTTTAGAATAATGAAACCACTTACTTCTGTCATTGCGCACATGTAGGGTTGGGAGCAACTTCAGATCTTTATCGTTTCTCCTCAGTGTTTGAAAATAGTCTTCTTGTTATGTTCATACAGTGTACTCTATTTCAGCTAAACTTATGTATCCCATCTGTACCCCTTGAGTCTAATTAATATGGGATTGCAGATGACTCCATTCCTGTGCAGCTGAAAAGCTCTCAGAAAATATTTCCCAAGCTGGAGATTCTTTCCAGAAACCAGATAGATTTCTTTGTTGCTTTGCTTCTACAGTGCAGTAAGAGTTACTGTTCCCAATGAAACTTCAGGGATATATAAATTTCTGTAGGTTTTTTTGTTTGGTTGGTCTTTTGTTACATAGGTGAGTATGAAAAAGAATACACAATCAGAGGTATTCTGAAGAATCTGCTTTCTTATGTCTCGCATCACAGCTGGTCCTTGTTATACTTGTATTGTGGGATTGAATGCATGATTAATCTGAAGAAGCCCATTTTCTGCATGTTAGAAGTCATATTAAATGAATGGGATTTTAAAAAAAGGTACTAAATGGTAAAAAGGGCATTTGTTTATCTTTTCTTTTTCTTTTTGAAACATGTAACAAGTTGCATTAATTTTATTTGAAAAACGAATATGTCACACTGCTATAAGCGCTGTGTGGCATGTAATTCATTCTTAGGGATATCACAAAGCAGTATATTTAAACGTTTGAATTGGGAAAGTAAAAAAAAAAGTTGAAAGGAAAAGATACTGAATCAATGAGATGCTTTCTGTTAATGTTACTTCTCCATATGGTGATTTGTACAGTAATAAAGTTCGTCAAATAGAGGATTAAAATAGGATTTTCACTAAAAAATTTAATTTTAACCAACCTTTGATTTAAGGGTAATAAATGAGAGTGGTGAGCATTAAGCATTCTTTCCTTAAAGTTCTCAGTAGTTTTCAGCATCAGGCTTTGTATATGAAGCAAATGGTGTTCTGTAAATTTTTCTGAGCTTTTTTAGGTAAAATAAATTCGTAATTTTTAATTTAAATCCAAGTTGGTACTTTTCCTTTGCTAATTTTCAGAAGAGAAATTTAACCGAGCAACGTATGTATGCACATGAGTTGCCTTGAATAGACTAGCACATAATCTTGAACTGGTGATGTTTAAATGCCATTTCAGTCTCTTACTGGTAATATTTGTACATTTTGAGAAAAGTTTAGGGTACAGTTTTCTTTATGGAAATAAAACATATCCAAATTCTGCAATTAGATGATTAGAAACTAATTTTTTTCAGCTCTCTTGAGTGGTTTATTGCCATTTTCCCCACCCTTTCCAGAATACTCAGACATTATACAAGGTAGTGAAAATTCACTACTGATGAAATATATCCAACATACTGGAAGATACCAGCACACTGAATTGTTTGTTTTGGTTTTTTTTTTTTTTTTTTATTTATTTTAGAAGTAGTTTGTGGTGTCGTGACGCCTAAGGACTTGTAGGAAAGAAAAATAAAAAGCTGAATGAGCTTAATTTCTTTATAGGTTTCTGCTTTGGGGTTGGATCCTTCAGGTGCCCGTTTGATAACTGGTGGATATGACTACGATGTTAAATTTTGGGATTTTGCTGGAATGGATGCTTCTCTGCAAGCTTTTCGATCACTCCAGCCATGTGAATGGTAGGTATGAAGACAGCCTTTTTCACCTAAGACTGTGCCAATGTTAAGCTCTTAGTAGAAAGCACAAAAGCCTTGTAAACTAGCTTGTTTAAGAAGCTTTTTTATCCTGTTTTGCGGTAAATGACATGTGAGCCTAAGAATTTGTGTGCTCATGTCTTTTCGTGTTTTTTCCAACAACTTGCATAGTTTCCCCTTTTAGAAAGCTACAGGTGAATTTGTTGATGAAATTGTGAATAGTGTATCAGCAAACAGATGATGAACCTCTCAGAGAGACAGGTTGAGTTTCATAGTTGTAATAGAAATTACTAGAATTCACTTTCCATATTACTGTGCTTATATGAAATTAATGAAGTAGTTAAAACAGTTAACCCCTTTGTGGAGAGGTTATGTGGTTGCTGCCAGTATTTGGGGGGGGGGGGGGTGTGGAGGCGGATCTAGTGTTCATTAAATCCTCTTTGTGGAAGTAGTGGTCCTTTGTGTTGTGCTGATAAATGGTTATGTAGTGTGCATTATGAAAAGTGAGTCTGTTGTCTTTTTTTTGTGTAAAAAGCTATATATTTACTTATTTCAGACACCTGGAATGCAGAACTCCTTCAAAATTAGTGCATTTCTCATGCACAGCAAACTTTCAGGTAGAATCATTAATACATGAATTAATAGCAGGTTTTTTTAGCAGGGTGCTTTCTAATGTCTAATGTGCACTATGCAGGATACATTTGTACTCTTAAAAAGGAGCCAAAGTTTATTATGTGGAGTAAGTCCTTAGAATGTCTATGTTTAAAAAAGAAAAGCTACAGCTGAATTTTGGTCAGTTTGGAAGGTTGGCATGTGTATGACTAATTACAAATGTGGCAAGAATCTGGGTAATGAAAGAGGAGAAAAAGTTGGGACTTTTAGCCTGAATATGAGCAAAATAGAAAGGTTCTAAACTGAAGAATCAGGAAAATAGTGCACTATGTTTTGTTATGTGATTATAGTATCTGTGACAGACTTACCTTGTTATAGCAAACTGATGATCGGTACATTTACTTTTAAACTGTTAGTAAACATGCTGCTTTAAAATAAATAAGATTCTCCAAATATGAAGTCACATTCATACTTCTCTGCCATGAGTCTCATTTACATGATTATTTAGTGCAGTGCAAATGGTATTTTCCTCTTTGTCATAACTGAGCAGTAAGAAAGAGCTGATAGACTTTTACTGCCACAGTAGGAGATTATTTTAACTGAAGTATTTCCATACCGAGTAGAAGAGTGCACTAACATTTAGTAGTACTCGATAATAATGGTATAAGACATAGGGTAAAACCCACAAGTACAGTATATATTAATGCTCCAGTGCAAGGGAAACAGCTTTCAAATAGATTTGAATTTTTTAGAAACTAGTGGTAAAATAACGAGTTTTTTAGAAACTAGTGGTAAAATACGAGTTTCACGTGCTTGTTATCCCTGACATTGTCCATTTAAGTGTTTTCTAAGTATCTCATAAGTATTTATGTAGGGATGGTTTTGGTGAAATATACATTCTTGTGGTTTGCGTATGTTGAAGTATAAAAAAGTATAAAAACATAAATATAAAATTGACTGGTGATTTCACTTATATTCCAAGTCTTGTACTGTTTGGGGGTTTTAAAATGTATTATTTGAATACTTTCTTTTACCTTTATTTTCTTGTAAACATAAAACTGCAGATATAGCTCTTGTCTTGTTTGTGAAAAGCTTCAAACTTTTAGAAATTTCCAGATTTGAGTGTCTCCTTTCTACGAAAACTCAGAGTTTATAATACTTGGGACAGTTTGGCTGCCAGTTTGAATTAGTAATACAGGGTGCTTGATGCAGTTTTTGGCTTTTGAATCATAATGTAGTCAGTTTTGCCAGACATTCTTGAACAAGAAACTTATGCTTACTTTACATTATTGATTAATGCAAAACTTTTGAAATATGTATTAGAGTGGTTTTGTGTACTAAATCACAGTTTAAGGTCAGATTTAACAGATAATACCTACTGCCGAGTCAGTGATGAAGTTACTACCATATAAGACAAAACTTTAATTATTACCTTAAAAGTTGCATATTTGGTTTTGTTGATCATCTGAATGTTTGTTTTACTTACGTGAAATTGTGTTAAAAATAGTTTTCTTAAAATTACTAGGATTTGAATGTGCATGATTGTGTTCTTCACCAGAAGAAACTGAGGACAGTTTGGATGCTATGGGAATCTAAATCAAGCTGGCAAATGCATCACTGTCTTTAATTTGGCATGAATTTAGTTGCAGAGTTGCAGAGTTAATATGAAGTAATGTTATTGTGCATGTTCAGTCAATGTACCAGGATATGAGTTCTGGCAGGTGTGGAGTGGATATACGTGCTTGCATTCTTTGCTATCCTTTTAATGGGATATAGCTGGGTAGGGGATCAGAGGGATAAATGAACTCAGTTATCAGCCATCCTCCCACTTTCAGTTAATAATTTTTGTTGCCTTGCATTCCATGATGTCTTTCCTGGTTTTCTCAATCAGTAAAAGACGTATGTAAGAGAACTTTTCAGGCAAGTGAAAAATGTACAGTGGAGTTTTATGGAGGACTACAACATTCTTTTATTGTAATTTATGGATTAATGCGAATCCACATGTTGCTTTTGAGGAGATGAAAAAGAATGTTAGCCCTGAAGAGCTGAATCTGACACATGCTATTTTTTCTGTGGTGTTATAAGAGCATTCTTTAAATTGTTTGCCAGCAATGACATTTCAGATGCCAACTTTTAAAATTATGTTTACAGTTTGATGTACTTTGTGGTTGAAGAAGGAAATGTTACATGTGCACACACACACACACACACATGAGGAATAAAAAGCTTCAATCCATTAATTAATGGGGAGGGTTACCACCTTTTTGATATAGGAATGTATATGGGTCTATTTATGCAATCACTAAGTTTTTGAGTAAGTTTTCTAGTCTAGGCTTATAGGAGCTAACTTTTTTATTTTTTTTCTTTTCGTTTTAGTCATCAAATCAGATCTTTACAGTATAGCAGCACAGGAGATGTCATTCTCGTTGTCTCTGGTAACTCTCAGGCAAAAGTTCTTGACAGAGATGGCTTCCCAGTAATGGAATGCATAAAAGGGGACCAGTACATTGTGGATATGACAAACACAAAGGTAAAGTCAGAAATTACTTGAATGCCAGAAGACTGACTAAGTGGTGTATTTTTTTCTCTTAATGAGAAACCTCATGAAGTTTAGTAAGAAGAATAATGCAAAGCCCTGTCTCTGGGATGCAGTAGTCCCCCTGTTGTTACATGCTAGAAGTTGTGGGCCTTCATCCATGGAGATTCTGAAGACCCATCGCTGACTTGATATGTTGTTGGTTATAAATCTGGCTTTGAGCAGGACATTGACCTAGGTAAACTCTAAAGGTCTCTTCCAACTAATGTTTCTCTGAAGCTAGAACAAATTCATCTATTTAAAAGTATATCTCATAAAATTTTTCAGCTTCCCCCATACACTTGTCCAGCCAGTGAAAAAGAAAAAATTAGAAACTGTTGATCTGGTCAAGGCTCTTGCTTTCTTCTACACTCTGATATGATTTACTTCTTTCAAGGCAATGTTATTATTCTTACTTACATGCCACAAATGTAAGGGTAATAAGTAGCAATGTGTGCAACTTTAATAGTAGCTAAAAATACAAATGGAGATGGGCTGATTCATAGTTTTGAAGTATCTTAAAAACAGTTGATTGGGTTTTGACTACTTTGCCTTCGTATTTTCACAAACTATATAAGGCAAATATTCTGTTTACATAAATGATTTAAATTCAGGTCAGTTTTAAAATAGCTTAAGCCTAAAAAGAAATTATAAAATCTACTGCTCAAACTGATGATAAAGTTGATTTTATTTTTTTTTTCTTGTAAAGTATATTGCCAAGTAACCAGCCTAAATGCTGTTCTTGTCAGATTATTTCTTTTGGCTAGTGATACGTATATAAAACGATCAAATAGTAACATCTGCTTCAGTTCTTGTTTACTAAAAAATAATTCAGTTGTCTTTACAGACTCTTGTAAACGTCTAGAATTCCAGCATATTGTGTTCCAACAGTCAAAATGCTAAAGTATTTGTTATATCGCTCCATTAACTTTTCAGTATTCCTCTTCATATTTATGGTAAAAGCAAACTGAAGTGATTCCAGCATTTCCAGGAGTAGTTTCCAAATTTCTTTTTAAGTGTAGTCAATGAGGATGTTCCTGTACTTCAAAGAAGTAAAGTCAACTGGACAAAGGTGTTTTATATTTGTGGTTACCACAATGGCAATTGTTTACTTGGGATAAAATCCTTGCCTTCTGTTTTTTTCTATCCTAAACAAACAGGGGTGACTATTTAATTTGGGGCTTCTAGTCTTTTATGAAGAACTTGCCTGAGTCGTCTTGACTCTTGAATTCTGTTTTCTTAGTTTTCTCCAACAAGGTCTTTGACTAGTATGGTGTGGCATTGATTTATATATGTATAAGGTTTTTATAATTCAAAATAAATCAGTGGATTAGTATACATAGTCTGTTAATTCATTGTGATGTCAGTCATCCATTACTGTGGTCAGAAAGGTCTGATCTGGACCTCAGCTTTCACGAGATTTCGCTGGAAAGATTTGGAATAAAATTTGGAAAATTTTGTAGGACATATTACAAAATCTAATACCTCTTTGTTTTTATTTCCTTAGGGTCACACAGCAATGCTCAATTCAGGGTGTTGGCATCCAAAGATAAAGGAAGAATTTTTAACATGTTCTAATGATGGGTAAGTATTGAGGTCTATCTTTGTCACGGTTTTTTTAGACTCTTGTTTGGCTTCGGTGTTTTAATAGTGTGCCCTAATAACTTGCTTTAAATATCATCCTTTTAAATCTTGAGAAAGTACTCAAGACAACAAGAGATCTGGAAGCAAAAATTTTATGTGACTGGCAGTCTTCTGTCTAGAGAGGAGAGGTCTAAATGGGGATAGGATGTTATCAAAGTTTGAAAAAATGTTCAAGATGGTGGATGAGTTGAATTCTGGAACTGTTGTTCATCAGAACCTCTTATACTAAGAAACTTTTGTTGGAAGTAACTTAATAATAGAAAATACTTCATTTTGAATACTGTCAAAATACTATTCTGGAATCTGTTGTTACAGGAGATTGTGGAGGCAGGTTTAAAAAGGTTGAAAAAATTAATATTTAGAAGGCAGCATAAGCAGATAGGAAGTACAGTAGGCATTATAACATCTCTTATATGACAGCTGGGGATAGTGAGGGGGAATGGAAGGAGTAAGCCGTCATAGCAAGTCTCAGTTACTATTATTATTGTTGTGAACAAAGGATGAATACAGATCTTAATTACTAAAAGTAATTAAGATGGAATTTCATGCTAAACTACTTTTGAAAATGTAAGGTATGGAGTGTCCTCAAGATACATTGTTTTTGCAGTGGTTTTAGATCTAGAATTGGTGTGGTTTTTCATGCAAATAGTTTAACTGTTGGTAAGGTCTTCTCTCTTGTGGAAGGTGTTGAGGCAAAGCCCAGTATATCTTTATGTGATTTTGGTACATTGAGATTTCAGATAAGAATGTTTCATCAAATATATATATATATATATATATATGTGTATATATATATATATATATATATATATATATATATATATATACACCAAACCAGTCTTGTAGTCCAGAATCAAGTCTTTCTACAGGGCAGGAGACCTGCCTATACCCAATTTTGACATTCTTAATATCACATATGGGTATGATTTGGCATTCCGAGTCTTCAACATATTCCTCTTTGTCATAGTTTATTAAGAAGACCTGTATCTTTGAGAGGAGAAATGAAAGGCTTTACGGTATTGCACTTCAGAGGAAAAGGTGAAATCAAAACATCTACTCATGTGAAAGGTTTTTGTGGTGACTTTTCTCCAAAGTGACAAGTGATAGGTCAAGAGGAAATGGCCTCAAGTTACACCATGAGAGGTTTAGACTGGATATTGGGAGGAATTCCTTCACCAGAAGGTTTATCAAGCATTGGTACAGGCTGACTAGGGAAGTGGTGTTGTCACCATCCCTGGAGGCATTTAAAAGATGTGTACATTGGCACTTGGGAACAAGGTTTAGTGGTGGATTTTGGCAATGTTGAGTTAACAGTTGGATTCAATGATCTTAAAGGTCTAAATGATATTAAGATTCTATGACAGTACACTGCCACTCTTGTATATGTTGAAGATGAGCTGTGGAAGTTTTGCAGTAGATTTCTCTTAGTTTTGTTCTATAATCTGTACTGGATGTAAGATTAAGTTACTTGAATTATGGTGACTACTCTGGAACTTTTAGTGGGGAATGTGGTGCTATCTCTAATTCTACATACTGAGATTTAATCCTCACATTGCAAAAGGGACTGCCACAAATGGCATGTGTGGGTAAGGACATCTAATAAGGAACACCAGCATGGGACCCTTTGTGGGGTCAATCCTGAGCGTTTGAATATAGGAGAATGAAACTAGTGTTGTCTTTAATATGCATGAAGGAACACTGAACAACTTCCAGTTTTGCTGGCTGTAGTCTCTCTTGGACATCACACGGAATATTGAAGCAAGGCAGTATGAGCTCTTAACTAGGGACTTCTCCAGTCACTTGATAAGTGTTCCTGAGTGGATGCTGGACTTTCATGATGCATAAAGGAGTTAAAAAGCAAACTTTGCAAGCAGACCTAAGGACTCAAAGGAAAATAACACGTTTTAAATATATCTGAAATGCTTTTATTGTAGTCAAAATACTTTTTTCTTTTCTTTTTTTTTTTTTTTTTTAGGTCAACCTGCTATAATTCATATTACTTGGGGATGGTCTTTATGTGTGCTTGAGAGTTTATTTTGATTCTGGGTGATTAAGACTGTAGTAATATCCTAAACTAAAAAGTAATTGAAATGAAGGCTTTTAGAATTGCTACTGTAAAATAACTGTTTTGAAGGTTGGTCTGTTTCTTGTGATTTATTCATGCATTCAGATTTGCTTGAAATTTTAAAAATATAAATCCTAAAATTAGGTTTTGACTACTATGTGAATTCTAATTTATGGCTATTAGGCTGCTTCTAAGTTTACTGCTTCAGACTGCAGATATATGGGTTACCAGCAGGGAGTCTCAGTGTGTTTTCTATGACTGTTCAAGGACAAAATGTTGAACTTGGAAAAGACCATACAAAAAAAAGACACAGTTCCATCTGACTCTGGTATGGGAGCAATGGAAGGTGGTCAGCTTACATGCTGAAGTGAGTCAAGACCGAAGTCTGGCAGTTATAGAATAAGCCTGAAAAATCTTGTTAATTTGTATAAGTACATGTCCACTTAAGCGATTGATTGTTAGTGAACACATGGATCTTAGAACAGCTGCCTTAATTTCATTTTCCTTGAAATATTTCAGAAGATTGTTTGTTAAAACATGTAATACCTTTTTTTTTCATGTTACAGTAAGATTTTTTTAAAAAAACACCTTATTTTTAAAGAAATAATTTCATTATGGCAGGGGGGGTGGAACTAGACAGTCTTAAGGTCCTTTCCAGCCCTAACTAATCTACGATTCAGTGATTATTCTTGAAGTGGCGATGAAGCATATTTTTGTTGGGCTTTTACAGATTGATTAGAGTTTGTTAGCTTTTAGTCCCAGAAGGAAGTAGGTAATTTGTTAGTTCTGTAGGTAATCTGGTGATTAACCTTAAGCGTATGGATGAATAATACTAATTAACCTAGAGATTTAGCTAGGGAGTTCTTTATTTGAAACTTTTCTTTTTTACTAAGTTAAAGCTTGTGCAGGTACTCTCTGTTTTTAATTTTCCAACTTTTCAAGTGATTGGAATAAAATCATATCAAAAGAAAAGGACATAAAAACTCAAGTCTATTGTCTATAGAACTGCAATAATCTTTAGAAGTCTTTGGAGGTTTGCCTCACTGAGATGATAAATTTGATTTTCACTAATTTGGCTGCTGTTAATTTATACCAATCCATCACTGTTTTTAAAGCATGCATACGGATCACTTTTCAGTATTCATAGTGAGTTGATTTAAACTTTCATAGGCTGTTTATGGCTATGGATTGCCTAGAACTTTAAATACGTCACAGCTATTCCTGAAAGATCAGTCCATTTTAATTGCATTTATTCCTTGCCATTCTAGATAAGGGTAAAGATATATATATGAACAACAACATCTTTGGTTTTTTGTAATGTTCTTACCACATTATTCAGGCTTACTTGGAATTTACATTCATTAAGAAGGGTCTGTCAGTTTAGGAGCAGTATTGTAGAACATGTGTACAGAGCTGCAGTAAAGTTTATAATAACAGAAATGCCAACACAAATGCACTACCTGAAAGTGAAAGAAAATTTTGAAAATGAGAGAGTAAGAATTCTTCTCCTTCCTGGAAATACACTTGAGCAGTGCCCTGAAAACATACTCTGTGTTTTAAAACATAACTAACTCCTTGTTAGTTGACTTCTGTGTTAAAACGAAGAAGGAAGAGGAAATGGATGATACTGTTTTCATTATTTGGATGTGTTCTTAGAGGTGATAGGTAGTGCTGTGTGAATAAGCAAGAATGCTTAGTGATATTAAATGTTGCAGCAACAGGTGTTGTATGTCCCTACTCTCATATATACTTTTTTTCTTTCAGAAGTAGAATCAGAGCTAAACTTGAAATTTGGCAGTCCTCAACTTTGTGATATGTCATTGAGGCTAGAGCTGTGGTTGCTTAACAGCTGGTTTAGTGTAGAAAATTCCTCTCTCAAGTCTTCTCTCTCACAAGTTCATACTCTTAAAGATGCCTTTAAGAATATTGGCTGCCACCACCAGGTGATCTTTCTAATTATTTAGCAATGAATTATACATCAGAGTTGATATATCTACAAATAAATGGACTAAATTATTTCACTGAATAGCTTCAAATCATAAAAAATGATTTGCATTTAAAGTACAATTTAATCCCTAGACTTTTGAGACATAATTTATGTCTCAAATACAAAACTATTCGGCTTCATGGGAAAAGATCATATACTGTTGCTTAGTAAGTGCTCTCTGTGTCTTAATGAAAAAGAAGGAAGCAGATTTCTGCCAGTTGTGGTCTTAGGTAAAACAAGTGATGACTATATACAGCATTCAAAAATGAAGATAAATATGTTCTTAAAACTCCTTTTTTCAGGTTTAAAACTGTTAACTGTTTGACAGTGGTAGTTAATTTTTTTAAATAGACAATTGACAATAAGCTTAATTAAATTTGCAGAGGGATGAGTAGCGTAGTTTGCATAACTTCCATCAGTTTGCAAGCAGTGCTATTTAGAAGACTTTTCTCTCCTTTAGGACTTTATGCCTCAGATGCTACTTGGGGCTTTTGAAATTGGATGCCTCTTAGTAAAGAGTGCTGTTTCATGATCACTTTATCTCACCTCTCTTTTTTTTTGTTTGTTTGTTTGCTTGTTTTTTATGTTAACCAGTTCCATCCTGTTAACCAGTTTTACACCTAGAATGGCTGATGTCTTGTTTCCCTCCCATTAGCTGCCTTGTTTCTGTGTCTGTGTAGGTGGTAGCTGTCAGTATATGATGACTTCATGACCATTGTTTTCTGGCAAGTGTTCCTGTAATTGGGCCCAGAACTGCATAAAGGCTCTGATAGCTTGGCAGGAAAGAGATTTGAGGAAGGTCTGGAATAGTACTGCTAATAATGGCCTGCAGTCAGGTTTTCCTGCCTAAAGAGCAATGAGTTGCTCTTCCTTCCACGATGCCATTCT